GCAGTCTATAAAGTTCAAGAGGCAGAAAATCCTCTCATAGGGCTTTATTATTCTTTAATGATTGAATAAACAGTTTAATTTCATGGGAAGTGACTGGGGGCCATTTAAGCAGGACATTAATATTACTACATGTATCAACATCGTTAACTGTTTTATCTGTTTCTATCTTAGCTTTAAATAAATCAGAGTTGGTAAGGGGTGAAACCTTTCCATTTTTTAGCTAGAATTGGAGTCACAGGATGAAATCTAAAAGTTCTAAGTTTAACTGATACTGCCAGAAGACAGAAGGATCTTGGATTTCCCCCCCATCCTGTTCTAGATCTATCCAACTTTTTGCAAAATAACAAACTTTATTTTTAGCAATTAATCTCTTACAATTCTGTCAAGTTTCAGCATAGGTTCAAGTGTGCTACTATTCCCATTTGCCTGCTCCAACATTTCCTCATTATTCTGCTGTCTGCATCAAACCAAGTTGATTCTATATTCCTAAAGCCACTACAGTTGGCTTCAGTTGGTAACCAGGGTTTGATCTCAAAAATATTGTCTGAAATACAAAGATAACTGAATCAATCATAGCATCTGGATCACAAACCATATCTACTCTGTGTCCCCCTGCTAGACTTGGTCTATTCAACAGACTAAATAGACTTTTGAGGTGAAACATGTGCTTTTGGCAACAAATTTTTTTGAGGGGGAGTAAGGATGGGATAAATAAATAAAAATAATTGGCTATTAAATCCAGCCTGTACAGCTTATATAGAAAATATTCCTAACACCTTATTAGAATTAGTGCGGTGCAGCACTCAAAGATTCTGAGTAAGGAGCAAAGATAGGAACTCCATTTGAAGATAGGAAAGTTACTTAGGGAGCTATTTTAATCTAGCTGCATCTCTAGGATGGTCTTGGAGGCCCAAAATGCATAGATCAAATAAAGTGGCTTCCAGATGCTTTGATTTTGTGCAGTTAACATGATGCATGCCCTCAAAGCAGTCGGAAGCTGCTCCGAGGCTGCACTAAACTAGGAAAAGCCAGCAGATTAAATCTGCTGCTGCCAGTGGCTGGCTTGGGACTGCAGTAGCAGTGGCCCACTTTGGAAGCAGCCTGTGTGGTTGCTGCAATCCCAGCGTGATCAGGGCCAGAGCAGCCAAAGGCCACTCCTTCCAGACCATGTGCTTCAGCCCAGAGAAGAGTAGAGGTGAGAAGAGGAGTGGAAACATCCCTAAAAGTATCAGTGTACATCACAGAGGGTTCAGGATAGGTAGGCAAAGAGGCAGATCACTGCAGCTTACTCAAACTATCGAACCCTATGACTGCCCATTCTGAAACATTAATTCTTTCAATGTGGAGCATTGTTGCACTTCCAGTAGACCTGACCTTAGGATGATTCCTGAAAAGCAGGGATAGCATATCCCTCAACTGTCACAATTTGGCTGGGACAGTCCTGATTACTCCTCTGTTGTTCCACTTTTTCAGCTGCTTTTTAAGTGTTCCACTGTCTCCCTCCTTCCACTTTCCTCTTTTGTCCTCAGCTTGCTTTAATTGCTGAAAACTGAGTTCAAAATGCAAAAATTATTTGCACTCAATTAACTCAGCAAGTAAGAGGATAGCAGAAGGGGCAGAATCGTGCCCTTCCCAAACAGCCCAGGCAAAAGCACACTGCAGCAGCCTCTCCTAGCTTATCTTTTCTTCCTTGTTGATAACCTTTGTCATCTTGCTGGTGTTGCTTGGCCACATGTATTCCAATTTTCATCTGTAAAATGTTGGAGGCTGTGGGTAGACAAATTGCAGCCCTCCAGATGTTGGACTCCAACTCTCAGCATAACAGGGAGCAGTGGCTTTGCTGTTAGTCCTGATGGAAATTATAGTTTGACAGCACCTAGAGATCCATGCTTTGCCAACTAATGATCTGGAGCAAGAGATTCTAGCCCTTTTCTGTGCAGGTTGTTCCATGGCTATTATAGTTTATGATCTTTGGAATGTGTTCTGTTTTATCCCCATCTTTAATTCACAGCTTGTTGGGAAAAGGAGCGATAATTAAAAGCATGAGCTGATATTGAAGAAAGTCTTTAATTCAATCTTGTCTCCTTCTTAACCTCATTGTTTGGCCTTGGGCTTGCCATAGTCCCTAACCCTCCATCTGTAAAAACACAAGTGTATTTTACAGGATCGTTATGGGGTTTATTGTTGTAATCTATATAATGCATCTTAAGCACTTAGGGGGAAAGAATAATATAAAACAGCCGGTAGCATTGTTAGTAGTGGATTACAATCACATTGTGGCATGTTTCTCAAAATGGCCCCTTTCCATGGTGAGAAGTTTCTATCACAGCCATAAAGTGTAAAAATGTTTACCATGTGTATTTCTCTCAGCTGGCTGTGCATTTTTATACTCATTCTATTCTCCTGATTTTCACCAAAGCCCTCCAACCTGCCATCGTTCTCTTCCCTTGCTCCTTTCAGTGCTGTCACTGCTGGGGACAAGACACAGTATATTGACTGTAATCTTAAAGGCACTTGAATCCTACTACTTCTCAGTCTTTGATGAAGTGCTCTTGTTGGTGGAAACTAAAATGATGTCAACCTGACTATGCTTGCAGCAACATGTCATTTATTTTTAGTCAGTTATTTATTGTAAACCCTGCATAATTCTCTGAATTACTTCTGTGTAGTCCCTAGTCACATTCCCCTTCTTATTTATGCATTTTTTAATCCCTATGGGTAACATTTTAGCTTTTTTTCTCTTAATTTGTTTTCCTATTTACATTGTTTCCCAGTCTATGGAGATTATCTTTCTGACTTTGAAAAGCAGCTTGCTGAGCACTCCTGGGACCCGGATTGCACTCGGATGGCGGAATCGGTGGCAAATTACATACAATAATTCCTGCCTGTATCCCGCCTCCTGGCTGCACCCCATTAGGGTGCAGTTGGGTTAAATGTTAGTTCAATAATCTCCTATTGGTAGCATTTTGAATTTTTAGTCTGTGTCTTCTTCATTTGGACTGGGATTTGAAACATTCAGGTTCTAGTTCTCACTCAGCCATGAAACTCACTGGGTAACCTTAGGCCATTTAGCCTCTCTTAGCCTAATTCACCTCACAGGGTTGTTGTGAGGATAAACAAGGAGAGAGTCTTATACTATGGATTTATTGGACTTACTGGAGGAAAGATGAGAACTAAAATATATCCTATTATATAAATGGAGCCAGTATGGTGTAGTCATTTGAGGATTAGACTACAACTGAAGGCCAGGGTTCAAATCCTGGCTCAGCCATGTAAACCCAGTAAGTTACCTTGGGCAAGTCATATTCTCTCAGCCTCAGAGGATGGCAGTGGCAACCCCCTCTGAAGAAACTTGCCAAGAAAATCATATGATGGGTTCACCATAAGTCAGAAAGGCATACTTTCTCAAGAATTTTTTAGAGGAATGTTTTCTCTGAGTCAGTCTTCCCAAGAAACCCTTAGAATAGGATCATCAAAAGGCAAAGTTACATGAAGGTACATGAAAACAATAACAATAATAATAATATAAATGATGTTGCTAAAGATAGATAAATTATGTATTATGTAACTAGTGAATGGAATAATTTCATTTATTCACCAAATAAAAAGATGGCTACTTTATTGAAGCCTTCAGGCCTCACTGATTTAATATGAAATACTAATGCACATAATTTAAAAACTGTTTTAATTTTTTAAATCTGTTTTAACTTGCTAATCATATTGTTTTAACTTGCTAATCATTCTTAGTGTTTTAAATGTTTTTAACCTGTGTTCATTGATTTTACTTGCACACTGCCCTGAGATTTTTTGATGTATGGCTGGATAGACATATTTTAATAACTGAACAAATAATCATTTATTTTACTGTTTACTTATTTGAGACACTTATTTATCACTTCTCAATCCACCAGCTCCCCAAGGTGATGCGCAATTTAAAAATATTAGATAAATAACTAGAAAACAATTAAAATGCTTAATAAAATAATTTAGGGTTTTTGTGTTCCACCTTGTAGGAAAATATTCTCATAGCTGTTCACACAATAAAACAAAATAAAAACAGTAAAATCTCAAGAATTTTACCTAGGAAGCATTCCAGGAAGACACTTGTCATTTTGTTTCAAAACCTTTTCTGAGTTTTTTTTTTTGTTTTAGAAAGCGACTTGAAGTATTGTTGCTGTCAAGGATGTCTCACCATAAGAAAGGAATTCTCCCTAAACCAATAGTCTATATTTTCAAGCCTCAGTAATAAGGCCAATAAGCCCCGAGTTGCATTTCTTGACAGAAAGGCAGGATATAAATCAGATAAATAAATAATAAAATAAACTTCTGGATTTCAATTCTTATGTGGATTAGACTTTGGCTACTCAGCACAAGACATCACTTTCCTAATTACTGTTGCATATCCCCTTGTAGATTGTAAAATAGTTACCATAGCAGTGTTGTTGAAGTTATATCATGATAGTTAAACAGGATTATGGTGCAGGTTGGAGAGCCAGCATGCATAGTGACTTGATGTTAGATTGGGACTCTGGAGACCAGGGTTCAATTCCCAGCTTGACCAAGAAACCAACTGGATGACCTTGAGCAAGCCACATGCTGTCAGCTTCAGGGAAAGGCAATGGCAAACCTCCTCTGAACAAATCTTGCCAAGAAAACCCCATGACACATTCATCATAGGTCACCAAAAATCAGAAATGACTTGAAGCCACACAACAACAAACAACAAGGTGCACATTGACCTAGAGTTCATATGTAGCAAATGTCTATCTGTTGCATGATAGTATTACTCTCAGATGATGGAAAATATTTGTAGGCAACATGTAGCACAAGGCAAAGAAGGTACCTGGTGCAAATGTAACACTTGTCTTGTTTTGTGCCTTAATATCATTTCCAACTTATAGCAACCCTAAGGGGGTTTTCATGGCAAGATTTGTTGACAGGGAGTTTGCCTTTGCCTTCCTCTAAGGCTGCGAGAGTGTGACTTCCCCAAAATCAACCAGCAGCTGAATGGGGATTTGAACCCTAGTTTCAAGAGCCACAGTAGAAGGCTCAAACCACTAAGCCATGCTGACTACCAATCTTTTAAAAATAGCTGTGAATGTTTAAGTAGTAAATTATCAATTTGTGTGCTTGCTGTTTTCCAGTGTGAATTTTACTGCCATATTTGACTATGTCCAGGCTGATAGTAACAAGAACTAACCTGGTTAGATTTAATCACAATTAACGTTGGTTTGTTGCAGCTCTTACTGTGATTAAAATCAGATCCTTCTGGGACAGCTTGTTCATTTGTGGTGAGACTGGATTGAATGATCCTGAAACCTGCTTAAATTCTGCTCATCATGATTAAAATATTGTTGATGCCAATAGAAGGATTTAGAAGTCACAGTGGACTCCAGGCTTGGAAGTTTATTTTAATTTATAAACATTAATACCTTGCTGATGTGTTCCCATTAGGATGCAATTGTAATTCATGAAGTTTATGAAGAAGGGGCAGCTGCTAGAGATGGCCGACTTTGGGCTGGCGATCAAATTCTTGAGGTAAGGTTCATGTTTAATGCCCTTGGATTTTTCTTTCTTCGAGATAGAACTCGTGCTTTAAGAAGGGGAAACGCCTCTTAAGTTGAAGAAAATTGAAGTTAAGATAAAAGCAGGGTTGAATTGATTGATTGATTGATTGATTGATTGATTGATTAAAAATTAGACATTTCAAATAGTCTGCTCCAGTTTGCAGTAATCTTGTAGTCTGCTGCATACATCTTATTTAGGCACTGAAATTACAGCAGCTGGATATCTGCTGGGAAATGGTTCTAGGACCTTGGATACCAAAATCTGTGGATGCACAAGTCCCATTATATACAATGGGATAGTAAAATGGTGTCTGCTATATAAAATGAATGTTTGCTTTGGGGTTTTTTTGGGGGGAGGGGAATATTTTCAAGCCATGGATGGTGAATCTCTGGATGCAGAATCCATGGATATGGAGGGCCAATTGTATTTCCAAACCTGAAAGTCTAAAACTGGAATTTGTTATCTTTTTTATCATCAAACTGTCAAGCAGAACCATGCTTGTATAAGCCCCTCAGTGAAGCTTGCTATTTTTCATTATGTCTTATATCAGAATATTAGATAAGAAAGAGTTAAGAAAAGAGTTTGCGTTTGCTTGCAATTTAGAAAAAGGAGTAGAAATCACTGTGGTTGCTGAATGTTTCACTGTCAAGTCAACACAAATTCCCAGCACACCTATTATGACTTCCTTGAAAGGAGGTTAGGAAAACATTG